ATTATTTCAAAAAGTAGAAAAAGAAGGAACATTGAGAAAGTCATTCTATAAAGCAAATATAGCCCTAACACTAAAACCAAGCAACGATATTACCAAAAAAGAAAACTTACAGACTAATTATCTTTCAGGAATATAGATGTAAAAATCTGGCCAACAGAATCTCACAGTATATTAGAAAAAGAATTCAATGACCAAGTGTAATAATAGGTATGCAAGGATAGTTCAAAGTAAAAAAAAAAAAGGTCATTTTCATGTGCCCGCGTTGTTAAAGAGGTCTGACGTGAGATACTCCCTGCTTACAAACATACACATAGGTGTTGCCCCCTATCATGCACCCTCCAGGACAAAGGAAGACATAAAGCTTCAGAAGAGAAAGTGTAAGGGGTGAAACAATGCCACCCAGAGTGAGCTCTTTGGGGTGCTTGTGGGAAGATGGGACCAAAACTTCCCTGAGGATAGGTCTCTCCATATAAGGGTCCTTGCCTCCATGACTGTGGAGCCATCCAGAGGCCAAACAAAACAACAGAGTTTGGGCCACAAGCAGAGGAAAGACTTGGCCAACTGGCACGCTGAGCTGAAAAAAGAGTTAGTTCAAACCTCCTCTAGACAGAAACTGCTCGAGTGAAGCACCTGCTCTCCTACCACTCAGCCACTCCTTAGATGAAGGAGGATAACAGAGTTTGGGACAGAGGACTACATTAAGGCGAGATTCCTGGAGAGCTGCTGTATATAACAGAGAAAACCTGAACAACTTTTGGAAAGGCAAATTTCCCCAGAAAGGACTTGCAGTAGGGTTGGTGGCTCACCCCATAGAGTGAACATTTTAAGCTGGCAACTAAACAATAACATCATAAAGATAAGAATTACCAAAAATGTGAAGACACAATAGAAACAACCTAACACTTCTCAAGAAAAACTACAAATAATGGCAACAAATTAAGCCTTCTCAAAAAAAAAAAAAAGCAAAAAACAGACAAACATAAAAACCAGAGAATGTTGCAGACCCACTGTATAATGCTCAAGCGAGTCAAGAAGGCAGATGATATACATTGATGTGAAGACATCCAAACAGCTACAAGAGAAAGTACAAACAATGGAAGTCACAGATAAAGGGAATAGCCTAGAGGAAAAGAACAAGAAGAAATATTTTGACGAGGAGTTATTTGAACAGCTACAGATGAAGATGCAAATAATGAAAGAAAAATGGAAACCACCAAGAAAGCAAACACTCCAAAAACATGAAGCCAGAAGAACTATATTGATGAGGAGGAACATGTGCAATTATGGAAGTCAATGCAAATGATGGAAGAAAGAATTGAAATTATAGATAAAGAAGTACAAGAACTTAAAAATTATCATAAGATAGAGAGGGTACAGCCAACACAGTACTAGAAATGATAGAAATACATGAAAATGCAATCCAGTATATGAAGATCGAAATGGCAGAAGTTTCCAAAAAGCTGGATGAACAAAAAAGTAAAACAGAAGAGAAGGATCAGAAAGTCAATGAGCTAGAAGATAAGAATCTCAACAGAAACATACTAGAAGAAAAAATCAGAGATAAGACAGAGAAAATGAAGAAAACCTTAGAGTCATTTGGGATGACATCAAAAGGAATAACACAGGTATAACTGAAATTCCAGAATACAAGACAGACAGGGAAATATCTGAAAAAAATTGTGAAAGAGGTATTAGAAGAAAACTTCCCAGGAATTATGAAGAATAAGGAAATTCACAAGAAACTCAGCGAACATCAAATAGACTAGAACAAAAAAGAATCACATCAAGACATATCATAATAAAATGCCCCAAAATAAAAAATAAAGTTAGAATACTAAAAGCAGCATGAGCAAAAAGAAAGTCACCAACAAAGGAAAAGCAACAAGATTAAGTTCTGATTTTTCAGCAGAAACCATTCCAGCAAGAAGACAAAAGGAAGGCATATACAGAAAGTTGAAAAAAAAAAAAAACCAATTGCCAACCAACCTAGCAAAGCTCTCTACCAAATAAGAAGTAGAAATTACATCTTTTGCAGAAAAGAAAGAACTGAGGAATTTGGGGGGAAAAGACCAAAACTACAATAAATTTTAAGGAAAGTCCTTTACATAGAGACCCCAAAAGAAAGTAGATGGACTATGGTAACAAGAAACAGCAAAATGGCAAAAATAAATACTGGTCTGTCACTAATCATACTTAATGTGAATGAACTAAATGCACCAATTGGGAGAAAACCAGTAGCAGAATGGATAAAAAACCAAATCCCATCAATATGTTGTCTACAAGAGACACATCTAAGAAATGAACAGAAAAATAGACTCAAAATCAAAGGCTGGAAAAAAATGCAGGAGTGGCAATACTAATCTCTGATAAAAAAGACTTCAGAATAAAAACCCACCATAAAACATAAGAAAAGGCACTATACAGTGGACTTGCAGGGAGAGATTGCATAGCAGTGAAAGAGTTTTTCTTTTACTCATCAAGGAGAAAAGTGAATTAGGGGAGAGGGGGTGGGAAGGGAGAAAAGTGCAACAATGAATAACTGGAAACACTAAGTCTCTGTAAACTTTCATTAAAATTAATAAAAATAAAAAGAGAAAGGGCACTATGATTAAAGACACAGTAGATCAAGAAGATATAACATATGTACACCACATGATAGACCTGATAAATATATAAAACAACTATTAATAGAATTGAAGAAAGAAAGTACCACAATAGTGGTAGGAGACTTTACTCAACAAAGATGCAGAATACTTATACTATTCAGCTAACTTGAATTTGTGGATGTATTCTGAGCACTGCACCCAACTAAAACTCAATTTACTTTCTTCTCCAATGCACATGGAATATTATCCAGAATGGATCACATATTAGGGCACAAAACAAGTCTCAAAAAACTAAAAAACAATGAAATAATACAAAGTATCCTTTCAGATTGTAATGTCATAAACTAGAAATTAACCACAAAAGGATAAAGCTCATAAAGCCACCACATGGAAGCTAAATAACACCTTGCTAGAACATGTGTGGGTTATAGAAGAAATAAAGAATGAAATGTAAAAGTACCTAAAAAATTATAATGATAATACAACATCTCAAAACCTCTGAGATGCAGCTAAGGAAGGACTCGGTGCAGTTCATAGCAGTACACAAACATTAAAAACAAAGAAAGAAGAAAAATAATGATCTAACTCAGCACCTTCATCAAATAGAAAAAGAACAACAAACTAAACCCACAGTCTTCAGAAGAAAGGAAACTATAAGAACAAGAGCTGATATCATTGAGATGTTGTTATTGTTGACTGCTATTGAGTCAAGTACAATTCATAGTGACCTTATGAACAAAAGACCTGAAGCCTTTCTGTAACTATTGTCATTTATCAAAGTTCATAGAGTTTACAGAGGCATGTTGTTTAGGAAGTGGGAAGATAATTGAAATCATCAACAAAACCAGGATCTGAAGGGTCAATAAAATTGACAAACCAAAGGCAAACTTACCAAAAGGAAAAAAATGAGGAGACAAAAATAACTCAATTAAGGAATGTTAGAGATGACATCAAAGCAGAACCAGAGGAAATTCAATCTATAATACCAGAATACTATGAAAAACTATACTCTGATAAATTTGAAATCTTACAGAAAATGGACAAATTCATTGAAACTCATGTCCCATCCAAATTAAATGTTGGACACTTGAACAGATCCATCACAAAAGACGAAACTGAGTAGGTCAAAAAAGACTCCCTTACTGGTCCTGGACCAGATGGCATCATGACTAAATTCTACCAAACATTCAGAGAAAAACTATCACCAATTCTACTTAAATTATTTCAAAGAATATAAAAAGAAGGAACACTCAAAAAGCTAGTCTATAAAGCAAGCACAACACTAATACCAAAACCAGGAAAAGATATAACGGGGGAAAAAAAGACAACTGCCAACCAATATCTCTCATGAACATAGATGCAAAAATCCTTAACATAATCTCAGCCAATATTATCCAAAAGTCCACATAAAAAAATAATTAATCATGATGAAGTGGGATTCATAATATGCATAGTATGCAAGGATGGTTCAACATAAGGGGGGGAAAAATCAATGTAATACACCATATTAACAAACCAAATAACAAGAACCATATGGTCCTAGCAATTGATGCAGAAAAGACATTTGAAACAATTGAACACCCCTTCCTGATAAAGACACGCAGCAAAATTGGAATAGAAGGGAATTTTCCCAACATAGTGAAAATTATATAGGCAAACCCAAGAGCCAATAGCATTCTCAATGGAGAAAGACTAAAAGCATTTTCCTTGTGAACAGGAACCAGACAAAGATACCCACTGTCACCAAGTCTATTCAATACTACATTGTTAGAGCAATACAATAAGAGAAGGAAATAAAAGGCATTCAATCGGCAAAGAGAGAGTGCAACTGTCACTATGTGCAGATGCTATGATAGTATACACAAAATAACCCAAGGACTTAACAACAACAAAAACTGTTAGAGCTAGTAAATCAATTTAGTGGCATGGCAGGATATAAGATCAATATTCAAAAATCAATGGGATTCCTCTACAGTAACAAAGAGAACTCAGAGAAGGAAACCAAGAAAGCAATAGCATTTACACTAGTCAAAATACTTAGAAATGAATCTAACTACCTACACAAAAAACCCTGTACAATGAAAACTACAAATCATTTCTGTAAGACACATAAAAGACCTCAATTAAGTGGGGAAATGTTCTTTGTTTATGGATAGGAAGACTCAATATTGTGCAAATGACAATCCTACCAAAATCAATCTATATGCTCAATGTAATCCCAATGTAAATACCAAATTCATTTTTTCAAGGAGATTGAAAGCGACATTGTCAAGTTTATATGGAGATGAAAGAGACCTCGAAGAAGCAAAGCATTTGTGAAAAACAAAAATGAAGTGGGAGGCATCACACTTCCAGATCTCAAAACCTACTTTCTCTCTTGCCCATTCACCCAAGATGCTAACGGGGGAAAAGGCCAAGGGGAAGAAGGTGGCCTTGGTGTCCACAGTGGTAAAAAAGCAGGAGGCCAAGGAGGCGGTGAATCCCCTGTTCGAGAAAAGACCCAAAAACTTTGGCACTGGGCAGGACATCCAACCCAAAAGGGGGACCTTACCCGCTTTGTCAAACGGTCCTGCTACATCCGACTGTAGTGGCAGAGGGCAATCCTTTACAAATGACTCTAGGTGCCACCCACCATTAACCAGTTTACCCACGCTTTGGACCGCCAGACGGCTACTCAGCTGCTGAAGCTGGCCCACAGATACCGACCAGAGACCAAGAAGGAGAAGAAGCAGAGGCTGCTGGCCCGAGCTGAGAAGAAGGCTGCTGGCAAAGGAGACACGCCCACTAAGAGACCGCCTGTCCTCCGTGACAGGGTGAATACAATCACCACCCTGGTGGAGAACAAGAAGGCCCATCTGGTGGTGATCGCACACGATGCAGACCCCATAGAGCTGGTGTTCTTCCTGCAGTCTCTATGTGGTAAGACGGGCGTTCCCTACTGCATCATCAAGGGCAAGGTCAGGCTTGGGATGCCTCGTCCATCGGAAGACCTGCACCACTACTGTCTTCATGCAGGTGAACCCGGAAGATAAAGGGTCTCTGGCTACGCTGGTAGAAGCCATCAGAACCAATTACAATAACAGATATGATGAGATCCACTGCCACTAGGGAGGCAACGTCCTGGGGCCCAAGGAAGTGGCCCTCATCGCCAAGCTGGAGAAGGCCAAGGCCAAAGAACTTGCCAACGAACTGGGCTGATGTACACACCGACTTTTCTGTACATAAGAATAAACTTATTCCACTGTCAACACCCCGCCCCCCAAAAAAAAAACCCCTACTACAAAACAGTAGTAACCAAACCTCCGTGGTACTGGTACAATGACCAGTACATAGACCAATCGAATAGAATCTAGCACCCTGAATGAGCCCATTTATCTAAGGTCAGTTGATATTCGATGAGGAAATAAAACCTATCAAAATGGAGAAATGACAACTTCTTCAACAAATGGTGCTGGCAAAAGTAAATTCCTACCTGTACAAAGCTAAAAAAGGATCCATATCTCACACCATACACAAAAAGAAACTCAAAGTAGATCAGAAACCTGGGAGTAAAGCCCAAAACCATAAAGTTGATAAAAGATAAAACTGGGATCAAGCTTAGCTGGCTTACTCTATAGTATAAAGAAACTGCCGAATGAATGCAGCCAGAAATGCACAATGTGGAGAGGATAAAATTGATGATTGGGACCTTCTAAACAGAAAATGTCTGTGCTCATCAAAAACATTTTTCAACATGGTGAAAATAAAATCTACCAAGTGGGAACAAATATTTGGTAATACCATCTGAGACAAGGGTCTCATAACAAACTTACAGACTACTCCTTGGCCTACAGAAGAAAAAGGCTGATAACCCAATTACAAAATGGGCAAAAGACATAGAAATACTTTTCACAGAGTAAGGCATTCAGATGGCAAACAGGCACATGAAGAAACACTCAAAATCACTGACAATGAGGGAGATGCAAATCAAAATTACAAGAACATACCATCTTACTCCAGGAGCAGTGGCAAAGTTTCTCAGGGCAGCAAGAAATGTTGGAAAAGATGTGGAGATACGTGAATTTCCATACACTCTTGGTGGGATTGTAAAATGATGCCTTGAAAAGTTCAACATAGAAATTCTATATGACCCAACTATTCCACTACTAGGAATATACCCCATGGAAATAAGAACTGAGACATAAATGGAGATCTGTAGAACAATGTTCACAGCAGCATTATTCACCAACACTGAAACAGCCCAAATGTCTCAACTACAACTGAATGGATTGAGAAACTGTGCTACATTCACACAAGAAAATACCATGCAACATTCAGGAGTAGTGATTTTGAAAAATAATACATAACTTAGGAGAGACCAAAGAGCATTATTCCAAATGAATTTAGTCTTATGCAGACAAATATTGCATAAGATCATTATTTTAAAAATAGAAGCACAACTAGTAAAACATGTATGCAGAACCCTGCTTAAGACAATTATTTTTATTTTTTATTAAATTTAGGTTGTTTATTTTTCATTTCAATGAACATCTACAGAGATTTTGGGATTCCATTCATTCATTGTTGCATCCTTCTCCCCGCACAAACCCCTCCCCTCTCCCCCCCCCATTTGCTCCTCTCCTTGAAAAGCAAAAGAAAAACTCCCTCATTGGTACACAATCGCCCC